GGTGATTGTAAAAGGGAGCAAGCATTCGAGAGAGAGGGGTAGAGAGAAAAGAGAAACAGACTATAAAGTAAAAGGGGGAAAGTTTCGACACAAAGACATTAAGAGTAGGAGAGTATCGGAGTGAAAATAGATAGAAGAATAAGACAGGGAAAGGGGGGAGAAAGGATAAATAAAGGGAGGGAAGATGATGAAGGGTGGAAGTGAGAGAAACTGCTGAGGAAGAGAAGGAAAGAAATAATGAGCGGAGAAAGAGAGACAAAAGAAATACAGAGAGGAAGAGTAGGAGGCGTGGGAATAATGAACAAAAAAGAAAGGAAATCGCAATTAAACGAGAGTGAATGAGAATGAGAAACAGTGGGGGGGAGAGAGGAAGAAGGCTAATAAAATGACGTGAAAGAAATGTAGAGATTTGAAATGTAAAGAAATAGAGAAGAAAGAAAAAAGGGAGGAAGAAGGAAACAGAAGTGAAAGAGAAACGAATAGGAAAGAAAGAAAGCGTGATAAAAAAGGGACGAAAACAAGAGAAAAAGAAGAGAATGGGGATCTAAACAATAGAATATAGAAAGAAAAAAAACTGGATTGAGAGAGAAACGTGAAGAAAAAAAAATAGAGAGAAAGGATTAAGTGAAAGAGAGAAACAAGACGGAGCAATAAACGAGAAAGAAGACGAAGAAAAAAAAAGAGAGGGAAGGAAATGATGTGAAAGAAGCAAAGAGAGTTAGTATGAAAGAGAGAGCAAAGAAAATAGAGAATTTTAGAGGTGGAAAAGAAATATAGAAAATATGAGAGAAGAGGAGAAAGGTAAAAAAAAAACAAAAAAAAAAACAACCTACAAGAAAGAGAAAAGCAGAGAATTTGAGACAAAAAAAAGAAAAAATAATTTCATTGAATGAGAGAGAGAACGAGTCAGACAGACAGGTGAAAGAAAGAAATAAAGAAATGATTAGAAAAAGAATGGGGAAATCTCGGGGAGAGGAAATAGAATGAAAGAAAAGAGAATATAAAAAAAAGAGAGTTGAAGGAAGAGAAAGAAACACGAAGCAAAAGAGAACGCGATAAGAGAAAGACAAAAAGATACTACGGAAAAAAAGAGGGTGGAAATGAGCGGAGATGATATAGAAGGTAAGAAAGAAGAATGGAAAAGGGAGCTAAGAAAGAGAAAGAAAGAAAGAAAGAAAGAAAGAAAGAAAGAAAGAAAGAAAGAAAGAAGAGGACGCCATTGATATAAAGAGCTGATATGCAGCAGAGAAAAAAAAACGAGATTACAAAAGGCAGCAAAAGAGAATTCAGAATAAACCCAATATTTTGTTTCCAGCTTGTTATTTATTTATTTCTCTTTATACAGCAGGTGCTTTGTGTAAATAAACGACATACTGAGAGACGTTACAAGAGAGAGAGAGAGAGAGAGAGAGTAAAAACCATAAGCTATTTAAAGTTCTCGAACATACGACTGAAACCTACAAATAACAGTCAAGTTTAATTTGATGAAGACAAAATAAAACAGGTAAAAACACTCACTTTAAGGTCAAGTTTATTGTTGTCGCTGTTTAAGATTGCGTCACATTGACCATAAGGTAGACAGTTGACATGGCAATTTTCCATGCGTAGCTTAGATGTGGCACAAGGCCTTATGTAAGGGGGGCACCCAGTGAGGATCGAACTCACTCCTCAGTCGTAATTGTTCTAGCAAGACAAGCTTGCTAACCATTACACCGCCTCGAGGTGACCCAAAGACAGTTGACATGTAAGTATAGAATGTATATGTTATGAATAATCAAGAGTGATCACCCCTTGTAATGTTACTCTCCTCTTTAAGAGAGCTATTTCTGTTTACTGGGACTATAAAAGGAGACTATACGGGAACCTTGTATTCTCAGTTGAATAAAGCTTTCTTAAAGCCTACATGTGCGTACTTTAGTCATTACAGTATAATTATAAAGAGTGTCGTTATCATTTATTGGTCGAGTTGTTGACACGAGTGAGTCTATTCCTTGTGTTGCTTTTGCGGCTAGCATACCATTCGATTCGAGTCAATCTATTCGACAATGGTCTTCTGGTGGACATACTGTAAGGAAAGAAAAATGTATTTGCATTTCTTGAAAAAATAATAAAGAGAAAATAAAAGATGCTTTGCTAGAACAACTAGCGAGATTCATTCAGTATATGGCACTCGTGTTGATGGAAATGAGCTGAACCTGCCAGCATTTATCTACATGTATTATTTTTTCTTTCGTTCTCAACTGTTTTTTCTCTTTAGATTTATCGGTTTAGCCGCGTCTCTCTGTCCATGACTGTTTTCGCTGTCTGTTCATTATCTATCTATCTATCTATCTATCTATCTATCTATCTATCTATCTATCTATGTTTGTATCTATCTATCTCAGTCTGTTCGTATCTATCTATCTATCTATCTATCTATCTATCTCAGTTGGTTTCTATCTATCTATCTCAGTCTGTTCGTATCTATCTATCTATCTATCTATCTATCTATCTATCTATCTATCTATCTCAGTCTGTTCGTATCTATCTATATATCTATCTATCTATCTATCTATCTATCTATCTATCTCAGTCTGTTCGTATCTATCTATAAATCTATCTATCTCAGTCTGCATGTATGTATCTATCTATCTATAAATCTATCTATCTCAGTCTGTACGTATCTATCTATCTATCTATCTATCTACCTACCTATCTATCTGTCAGTTACTGTCTATCTATCTCTGTATGTTCGTATCTATCTATCTATCTATCTATCTATCTATCTATCTATCTATACCTGTTTGTTCATATCAGCCTATTCATTATCTATCTATCTATCTATCTATCTATCTATCTATCTATCTGTTGTATCCGTAAAGAGTTTACAAACTAAGGTGGTACTCAAGTGAAGGAATAGTACCACACGCGTAGATGAAAGAAGAGAGGTTTATTGTAAAAGAGAATACACCACTGAAAGACAGGGAATCGGGTGGCAGGCTAGTAATTCCCGAAGCAAGGTTATTTACCTCTCTTCACCGCGAGGCAGAATGTAGCACAGGACCGTTTTTAATCCGGGGTTAGCACCGAGCCCGTGGGCTCGGGCAAAAATTCCCCGTAGACCCCGTAAAAACGGGGGTCGGTTAGCTGTCTACCACCCCAGAAAAGACTTTGCCGTTCGGCATAGGCTCGTCTGGGTTCTTCCCGAAAGCAGAGAGTTCGACTAGCCTAGCTGGAGAAGAATCTCCAAGTAATTGCCGAAACAAGCCCCCAGATATATCCTGTGCACACTATATATATCTACTGATATAGTGACTCCACATAGGCGATAGGGAGTGTGGGACATTCCATTACAACACTATCTATCCCTGTTTGCTCATATCTGTCTGTCTGTCTGCCTGTCTGTCTCAGCCTATTCATTATCAATTTATCTATGTATCTAGCCATCTATCTATTTCAGTCTGTTCATTATCTCTCTATTTTTCACAGGTTGTACATAATCTATCTCTGTTTATTATCTATCCGTGTGTCTGTCTCAGCCTATTCATTATCTATCCATCTATTTCAACATGTTCATTATCTATCTATCTATCTATCTATCTATATATATATATATATATATATATATATATATATATATATATATATATATATATATTAATCCGTTCATTATCTATCTCTCTATCTATGTGATTGTATATCTTAATCACTCTTTTAGTCTTTCTAATTTTCTGTTTATATTTAGTGATGTTAGTCTCTAAAAAAATACAAATTATTCTTCTGATCCTATTTTTCTATCAAATGAAAAGAAACAAAAATTTATGAAAATAAATGAAGGCAAATGGAAAAGTGAAAGAAAAAAGAGAAACAAAATGTTAGAACTGACAAAATAGGAAAATGTTGAATACATGGAGGAAAAAATGTTAAAAGAAAGAGAGAATAGAAAACGATAGTAAAGACATTGAAAAGGACAGAAAAGCAAACGCGAGAATAATAATAATAATAATAATAATAATAATAATATGGAAACAAATGCAAAATAAAAATTTAAAAAAGAAACACTTGGGAGAAAAGATGATTCGGATTACCTGAAAGAGGTGTGAAAATGCAAAATGGCTAACGCCATAACAGCAAAGTGTCACCGTTCCCTGGGGTCAGTGAAATGAAAGATGCGATTAGTCTTTCCTAAGGAGAACTGCTTGTTGACTGATTGGTTCGTAGTTTGTTTCTCGTGCCATTGTTTTATTTTATTTATTTTTTTAATTATTTTTTGATTTGTCGGTCGAAGAATTTTCTTGCTTAACAATTATATCTCTTCTCTTCTTTTCTTCCACTTCTATTTTGTTTTTTGACAAAAGGCTGTTTTATAACTATTTGTTTCAAGTTCTTTCTGCTATTTATTTATCATTGGCTTCGTTTCCGTGTGATGAATATTTAAGAGGCCATATTGCATAGCCGGGCATCAAAAGCACTTCAAACTCATTTTCTTGTATTTGCCTCCATTTCTTTCTTTAATCGTTCGATGACGTTTTATTGTTATTTTTGTAGATATTTCTCTTTTCTTTTCTTTTCTTTTCTTTCTTCATTGCCTTCTCAAGTTCTTTCTTTCTTTCTTTTTCTTTCTTTATTCATTTCTGTTTTTCTCTATCTCAATTTGTTTCTTTCTCAATTTCTATCCTTCACTTTTTTCTTAATTTCTTTCTTGTTTTATCTTTCTTTCTAGATTTCTTTCTTTCTTTCTCTTTTTTTTTCTTAATTTCTTCCTTTTTTATTTCTTTTTTTCTCTTTATTTCTTAAGGTCTTTCTTTCTCTTTCTTTCTTAATTTCTTTCTTTCTCAGTTTCTTTCTTAATCTCTTTTTTCGTCTTTCATTTTCAATTTCTTTTTCTGTCTTTCTTAATTTCTTTCACTCACTGGCTATTTAATTTCTTTCTTTCTTTCTTTCTTTCACTTTCTTTATCAATTTCCTTTTTTTTCTGTTTCTTTCTCAATTTCTTTATCTTTCATTCTTAATTTCTTTCTTTCCTATCATTTCTCAATTTCTTTCTTTATTTCTTTCTTCTTTCTTTCTCAATTTCTTTCTTTATTAATTTATTCTTTCTTTCTCAATTTCTTTCTTTATTAATTTCTTCTTTCTTTCTCAATTTCTTTCCGTCCCATTCTATCTCAATTTATTTATTTCTTCTTCTTTCTTTCTCAATTTCTTACTTTATTTATTTTTCTTTCCTCCTAAATTTCTTTCTTTTTTTCTTAATTTCTTTCTTTCTCAATTTCTTTCTTTTTTCTTTTTTAATTTCTTGCTTTCTCTTTTTTCTTAATTTCTTTCTTCCACGTTCTTAATTTCTTTCTTTTTCTTTTTTTCTTTCTTTCTTTCTTTATCAATTTCATTCTTTCTTTCTGTTTCTTTCTCAATGTCTTTATCTTTCGTTCTTAATTTCTTTCTTTCTTATTTTTTTCTTTCTTAATTTCTTTCTTTCTCTTTTTCATTAATTTCTTTCTTGCTTTCTATTTTTCTCAATGTCTTTCTTCCTAGCTCTTTCTTTCCTAATTACTTCCTTTTTTTTCTCTATCTCTATTTCTTTCTTTCGCAATCTCTTTCTTTCTTTCTTTTTAATTTCTTTCGTTCTTCCTCTTTCTTTCTCAATTTCTTTCTCTTTATTTATTAATTGCTTTCTTTCACTTTTCTTATTTTCTTTCTTTCTCTTACTTTCTCAATATTGTTTTTTCTATCTCTCTGTTTCTTCTCAATTTCTTTCGTAAATTCTTTCCTTCTCTTTCTTTCTAAATTTCTTTCTTTTATTCCACATTTATCTTTCTCATTCTTTCTCAATTTCTTTCCTTCCCATTCTATCTCAATTTATTTATTTCTTCTTCTTTCTTTCTCAATTTCTTTCTTTATTTATTTCTTCTTCTTTCTTTCTCAATTTCTTTCTTTATTTATTTCTTCTTTCTTTCTCAATTTCTTTCTTTATTAATTTCTTTCTTTTTCCTTCTCAATTTCTTTCTTTTTTTTCTTAATTTCTTTCTTTCTCAATTTCTTTCTTTTTTCTTTTTTAATTTCTTTCTTTCTCTTTTTTCTTAATTTCTTTCTTCCACGTTCTTAATTTCTTTCTTTCTCTTTTTTCTTAATTCCTTTCTCTCTTTTTTTCTCTCTTTCTCAATTTCTTTCTTCCTCTTTTTTCTTAATTTCTTTTTTCTCTCTCTCTCTCAAATTCTTTCTTTCTCTTTCTTTCTCGATTTCTATCTTTCTCTTTCTTTCTTAATTTCTTTTTACTCTTTCTTTCTTAATGATTTTGTCGTTGACGACCTTGCTTCATTTCTTTCTTTCCCACCTTCTGTCATAATTTCTTTTTATTGCTTTCTTTCTCTTGTTTGTGCCACTTTTTTATTTCATTCTCTTTCAATTTATTTGTTATCCTTTTTTTTTTTTCTTTTTTTTTCTTCTTCGGATGGATGTGTGGTGAAATGAATAGTGAGATATTGGAGTGCAGAGTTCGAATTCCAGTTAGGTTCGTTACATTCATTTACGCGTAAATACCTTTGGGAAAGGTGTGAATTCATCCTCCCCAGTTATAAAACTTGTATCTGGAAAAAAAATTAACTGATATTTTCAAAAACATAATAATTGTTAATGCAATATTCACTCGCAAAAAATTATTATTATTCTTACAATTCAAAATATATTTCGGCTTCAAATAACTCACAAAGTGTTGATAAGCCATCAGAGAAAAATAAATAAATCGACTTTTTTCTTTCATAATTTCTGTATTTTTTTATTTATCAGTTTTGTACAATGTTCTTTCTCAGAATTTCTTCTCAGTAATTTTTTTTCGACGTCTTTCTTTAATTTTTATTTTCTTTCTTTCTTGCTTTCTTTCTTTTGGTCAGTTTTTTTTTTTCTTGTTTTCTCAATTTATTTATTTCTCAATTTCTATCCTTCACTTTGTTCTTAATTTCTTTCTTGCTTTATCTTTCTTTCTAGATTTCTTTCTTTCTCTTTTTTTTTTTTCTTAATTTCTTTCTTTTTCAATTGCTTTCTTTCTCTTTCTTTCTTAAGGTCTTTCTTCGTCTTTCTTTCTTCTTTACTTTCACAATTTCTGCATTGACCAATTTCGTACCGATTTTTTTTTTATCACCATTTTCTTCTTTCTTCTCGATCTTTTTTTCGCTATTTTTTTCTTTCGTTCCTTCTATCTTTGTCTTTATTTTCTTCATTTTATTTCTTTCTTTGTCTTCACTCTCTCTCTTTCTTTCTTTCTTTCTTTCTTTCTTTCTAAATGTCTTTCATTTGTCTCTTTCTATTTTTCTCAGATTCTTTGCCAATTTCTTTACATGTCTCTCTACATTTTTCTCGTTTCCTCATTTTTTTTATTTCTCAATTCTTTCGATAATTTCCTTCTTTCTTTCAACGTCTGTTCTTCTCGTCTTTTCTTCTCTGTTTCTTTTATTCTTCCGTTCTTCTTGGCTTTCTTCATTTTGTGCCACTTCTTACCGCTTCAAAAGATTTTTCTTCTTTTCTCATGTAACTAATCAAGCCTAGTTACTGACGTTCTATTATTCATACCGCACCACTACATGGCTTATAGTGATAGAGTCAAATGTATACCATAATATCTACTGACAGATCGATGTGTTATTAATATGGATTACCCTTCTTCCTGTAATTATAAGCCATTATTGCAATTGTAGTATGTCTCTCACCCAAAAGTATGCCAGAATATGCTTTATGTAAGGCCAGAGAAACACAGTGAATCATTGCTCTCCACGCCTTCCTATCGTTTGTGCTACTGTCGGTTAAAATTTGTAAAATCTTATTTAAAACAATTTTTCAGGAAAATAGATTTCTGAAGTCCAGTAATTGTTATGGCTTTTTTCTAGTACTCACTTCCAAACGTTTTGTTTGAAGTAACCGGTAATACATATATACATTTACCCATTTATCATAAAATAAAATAAAAAACACTTAGGTGTTGTTTAGTGAAAGTTTACAAGTTATATTTATTGTCAATACCTTGACAAGAGCCAGATCAGGCCCCAAATGGAGCACTGTTGCCATATTTGGACAGGAGCTGCCAAGATCTCACTCTCCAGCCTTGATAGAGTTCAAAAGTGTCTACGAGCCCTTCTGGGCGACGAATTATTCTCCACCCTCCAACCCCTCTCCCACAGGTGGGATGTGGCAAGGCCCGAGCTACTCTACGGCTACTTCCATGGAAAGTGCGCGGACGAACTACATTCTCTGGTTTCGCCAAGGCAAACTTTCATTGCTAGTACGCACAATACCACTTACATAGTATCAAAGCATCCACATTCCCTCCATATTCCATCGGTGAGAAGTAAGTTCCATTTGAGCAGCTTCTCCCTGCTAGCCATTGCCCTGTGAAACCGACTCTCAACAAGATGTTTCCCCGATCACTACAATCTTAAACTATTCAAGGCTAGGGTTAAACGATATCTCCCTTACGTATATAAACAAATGGCCTCCTAACGTCACCCTCTATATTGAGTGGCCCCCGAGCCTTGTAAAGAGTGACCCTACTGTAAAAAAATAATTTATATATATATATGTGTGTGTGTGTGTGTGTGTATATATATATATATATATATATATATATATATATATATATATATATATATATATATATATTGTATTTAGGCAGCATTTTTCATTCATACATGTTTCATTTTGGTCACACCACAAGCTCGCTTTCATGACGCTTGACACTACATTTGAATGAAAACTCTAACATTTTTAGGCATTTAAAACAACATGCCTGCCCGCACACACAATTCTTCAAAATCCTTGTCGAAAACAATTATACTTCAACATGAAAACAATAGACAAAAACTAAAAATCCTTGAAGCAATATACATCAAACAGTTGAAACCCAACCTAAACAAAATCAATAATGGAATCTCTACAAATATTCTTAAATGTCTATATTGGTAACAGAAGCCGTTGGTTTATAACAACGGCTTCCCATACTTAATACTTCTCAAATTTACTCTCGCGTGGTCATGTGGGACGTCATGAGCTACGGTGCGATTTTCGCTTCTAGCGTCTTATATCTACGTGTTTATCGTTGCTTGAAAATCATCCATGTAAACAATCACAGACTATCATCACTGTTTTGTCCGTATATTGCTTAATATATTCTACAGTAATTGACATCTTTGATAATGGCTTATGTAAGCCGAAAGTTTAGATTGGATGAAAAAATATGGATCAATATTGTGATTTTCTTTCTTCGTTTAATGATAATGTTATTAAGCTTATCAGACGTTATGAAAAGAATTTACATAAAATAAATAGACAACACTTGTCTATATTATTTAATGAAACATGTATGAATATATATATATATATATATATATATATATATTTACAATCTAAAATGGCCTCACTTCGCTTTCACTATACCACTTAATCTCTTCTCGACTAAAGTGCATGACTTCATCACCAACTCTTCGCTCAAATTGTACCATGACGTTATAAGAGTTTCTTACAGGTCTGACTGTGGAATACGAGAAGCATCGGTCTCCAATATGAGCAATATCACAAAGTCCATAGTATCAATGTCAGGGCTTGATAGAGCTTGTCAAGAAATCCACGGAAATGTCTCTTGCGCTAGTTCTGTGTCAAATTGGCCTTGTGTGCGGGAACTCCATTTTGAGGGAAGATATAACAACTTACAAATTTGGCTAACAAACAGGGCATAAGAAAATCCCTCTAACATTTATTGGTAAAATCTGCTGTTCACTTCCACTTCTTCAGTGAACACCAATGGCGATTTTGAACCATTAGAAGCAACAGCAACGCAAACCAGTTGTATTCTGCCGCTTGAAATCTGT